GGGGCTGGCGTCCGGCGGGGGAGGGGGCACCGCTGCCCCCCGCCCCAGGTCGCCCTCTCCTTCTGCTCTCCCACACTCTGCCACAAGGTCGTCCGCCCTTCTCCTTCTCTCTCTTATAACAGAACAGCTTGGGCGGAGTGCGGCTCCAGCCTCCACTCCACTAACTCAGAGCACAACGGTGTGGGGAGGGGCACCCTCTGTACCCCAACCTCCCACCCGGCTGAGATTACTGCGGTGGTTCCAACTTCCTCTCCACTATCTCAAAGGGCAGCAGGGCCCCACATTGCCAAGCTCCAGTTCCCCCACCTCTCAGTGGGCTGAATTATGGGGGTTGCTCTTGTAACCTCTCCACTGTCTCAGAGCACAGAGGCCGCCTATCATTTAGCAGCCCCTCAGCGGACAGCGGGGGACTTCCTCCTTTTCACACTCTGGAGAGCAAGAAGGGGTCTCTCATCCTCCCCGCAGTAAGTGAGATGTCCTCTCCTTACCATCAGCATTTGACTCTCAAGTTCCTGTCCTCTCCCTTGCCTCAGAGGGCAGGGGTCTTCTTGGTTGTGACTCGCGCCCATAACAGAGAACTCCCAAACACGTGAGCAAGGAGGGAAACGCACAGTCCCTGCCAGGCTCAGGTTGGCACCCTCACTTGGACACCCTTCTCTTCAAAGCTTTAATTACGATTTGGAGGTGCGCAGAAACCACGATTTGGAGTATAGGAGGTCTTTGGGGTACCCTCCTTGCAGAGCCCCTTCTGCCTGGCCAAGGAGCATGACGGGGCTCACAGCCAGCAGTGGCATGGTCTCGGGGATTTCCTCTCTGCACTCCATATTGAGGTATTGGGCTGGGGAGGTGCCCCCCCATGGGTCTGCACCCCTGCAGGTGTCTGCAAGACCCCACACTCCTGAGACTCCAAGCCTTTGACCCTTGCCTGGAGACCCGAGATCTCATTCCTGACTTCTAAAGAAGACTACACATTTTGAAGTTTCCTCCTGTTGGAGTGTTGCCATCTCACCTTCTCCCACCTTCTCCCCACCTTCTCCCCAGAATTTTTCTATGGGATCCAAGGCACAGTGGACCTGCTCTCTCCTATCACCAGTGGGTCATTCTTTTGTCTTTCACTAGACAGAACTCAGAACTTCACTAGGACCTGGTGATCTCCAACCGCACTGCTGCGGGCCCAGACCATCCTGTTGCCCTGGCAGGCAGAGGTATGTAAGCTGAGCAGCCCTGTGACCCATGAGTAGGGTACCCACATCATGCATGGAGACGCAGACATGGAGACTTACCGGGATTTTATTTTTAGCAAGTTAACACCTTCTGGGTGCAGATGGTTAAAGGTTCAAGGATGGCACATCTGTGTCAACCTCTACAGATCTTAGAGAGACCTCCCCAGACCATCAACAGAGGGCAGGGGTGAGAGTAGTAGGCTGGGGGTCCAGGACACAAGGTCCTGGGAAGGATGTGTTGCATCACCAAGGTCTCTCTTGCCAGGACCTACATGTTGAGAGGAAGTGCGAGGAGGCAGTAAATGGAAGGGGTTCCCCTAATGTCTTCTGGTAGTCTCAAGGCCCATCTATCACTGTTGGTCCTTCAGCCCTAGAATCAGAAGAAAACTCTTTTCTGATGGGTCTGCTGCCGTCTTACCCTGCCTGAGCTCCCCTCTGATAACTCTTGACCATCATCCCAGTAATTAAATCGCATGCCCCCAATGCACCACCCATGGCCCATCCATCTCATTAGACTCAGTGCTTTCCTTTGGACCTGGGGATGTGATTACTGTACCACCTACATTTTAGGGTTTTGGAGATTCTGAGAGAAAGCTTCAATGGCAGGCAGTACTGATGAATCGAGCTTATAAATATCCAGAGTTCGATCCCTCGAAGGAAACACGGTTGAGTGGGCAGCTGGCCAGTTTCTGTTGTTTGGATTCTCTCTGGCCCATGCCCTGTGCAGGTCTTTCTGGGTTGGACAGAGTTGAGCATTTCCAGCCCTTTCCTGTGCTAGCAAAGTAGGATTACTCATCTACTCTCGACTCTTGCTTCCTCAGTGCTCATATTGATAAATGTCTGCCTTCACCCACACAAGAAGGAAAAATAATCTGTAATTTAGATATAAGGGGAAAGAGTTGCAAGACTTGGGAGGGAAACATGAACAGAGACTTCCTTTCTCCTTTTCTCTGGTGTTGCAGTGGAGTATTTTTTTAATATCCAGTGATTCTACCATATACATGTTCTCCATATTTGGTAGAGGGAATGATTGTAAGACTTGCAGATTTTGTTAAAATATGATGGTGAATGTAATTAGGTGGCTCATCATGGAGACTCTGCACTCAATCCTTATGAGGATGTTTAACAGGCATTCCCTCAGTCATTCATTCAACAAATATTTATCTTGTGCCTACCATGTGCCAGATGTTTTGAGGGAGTGACTCTGGAAACCCTTGAAGCAGTTCCCAATGTCTTTTGAGAAGTTGGACTGCACAAAGCAAAACAGGAACAAAACTGAACATTCCTCCCCTTCCTTCCCTCCCTGATACAATTTAAATTGCATCATCACAGACAAAAGTCTTAGAAAACTTAATGCAAAAATAAAGGCTATGTCAAGCTTCTCTCAGTTTTTGTTAGATTTTTCAGTTTGGCTTAGGTGCTTATTTACAGCTGAGTTCTACAAGACCTACAAAGAAGAATTAATACCAATACTACTCAAATTATTCCATGAAATAGAAGAGCAAGGAACCTTCCAAACTCATTCTATAAAGCTCGTATCATCCTGATACCAAAACAAGGCAGAGATACATCAAGGAAAGAAAATTTCAGACCAATGTCCTTGATCAACATTGATGCAAAAATTCTCAATAAAATTCTGACAAATCCATACAAAAACATATTTTTTTAAATAATGCACCATGATCAAGTGAGGTTCATTCCAGGGATCCAAATTTGGTTCACCATATGGAAATCAATAAATATAATTCATCACATTAATAGACTTACAAGTAAGGATCATATGATTATATCAATTGATGCAGAGAAAGCATTTGATAAAACATAGCAGCCTTTCATTTTCAAAACACTGGAAAAACTATGGATAGTAGAAACATACCACAACATTATAAAAGCTATCTATGCTAAACCCAAGGCCAGCATTATTCTAAATGGAGAAAATTGGAAGCATTCCCTCTAAAAACTGGAACAAGACAGGGATGTCCTCTTTGACCACGTCTATTCAACATAGTCCTTGAAACTCTAGCCAGAGCAATTAGACAGAAAAAAGTAATTAAAGAGATACAAATAGGTGCTTATTTTATGGGAGCCTCCGTCAATGTTTTATGTGTAATACAAAACAACGTGAAATACTATGATGATCATTGTTATTCTGTCAGTGCTTTGGAATTAACAGCACCAAGTATACCTTTTAAAAAGTTCACGAAAGTTTCTATTTTCAAAGGAGGGAAGAAAAAGAAGGGCAAAATCATAACCCTAAGCAGCACGTGGTACAATAAAAAATTCCTTCGGTGCCAAGCCGGCAGTGTGAAATATAGACCAGTGTCACTAAAGGACCCAAGGAGTCCTCTTGTTCATGTCTGTGCCTTTGGGGAGCAGGGCTACTAAGCAAGGGTAAGGCGTGGGGAGTCAGGGTTCTCCTGTAAATGTAGTCCGTGTCAATTTGTCTGTGACAAATTACACAAAGAAAACAATTGTGGAAGCTCTCACTGGGCTTGAGGGAGGGAGGGAAGGAGGAAGGAAGGAAAGGAAGGAGGGAGGGAGGGAAGGAAAAAGAGAGAAAGAAAAGGAAGTGAGCATTAGAGAATTGTTTCCCCTGCAACACTAGAGGGCAGCCTTCCATCCTCATAACCCACCAGGCTAGGCAGATGTTCTAGTGTGTGACGCGGGAGCACTGAGTGAAAGGTTCTGCTACCAATACCCTGAAATTCTTAATAACTTTTGAACAAAGGCCTCTGCGTTTCCCTTTTGCCAATGGTCTGTAAATTAGACAGCCAGAGCTGCTAGAGGCTGCACTCGCAGCATGCAGACCTCCACCTGCACACAAGCCTATTTCTGGAAGATGCCCACCTAAGGACAAGGCTCCCTCTGTCTGGGGCTTCAAGCCACCTGTACCCTCCTAACTTGGTGATCTTTCACAGACTTCTCAAACACTATGACACACCTCATCGATTATAAATTTAAGTAATCATGCTGTAGGACAGGTTTATGCATCAATGGGCTTTGCTTTAAAAATAACCCTCTCCTAGTTCCTATTTCAAATCCAGCTAGATTAGCTCAGTCAATACGGATGCTGTCATGTTCCTCCCAACGTCCACAGCCCTGATTAAATAAAGTCAAGCCAACAAATTGCACCAAGGACCAAAGCTGCTGAGTGCCAACCTCCCATGCATACTGGAGAGCTGAGCACAGAGTATTTCCCTGTGTGTTCATTTTTCTCTCTGGCAAATACATTACTAAAATTTATATAATAAAGTTTGA